CAAATTACCTGTGATAAACTGATTTTTTTTACTCTGTATAAAAATATAAAAATATAATTTGAGTATAATTACTAACATAATAATTACTAGCACTTTATATGACTTATACTTTATGTTCAGCAAGTAGATTCGAATCTCAAAACGTGTAAAATTCAAAATGCACCCTTCGGAGGTAGGAAACAACAAGCGCAACCCTTGATGAAAATTCCTTTGATTTCGCAGTGTATCGAAACATCACGATGATGAAATCTGAGTTCTCCACAGGGTGATTTTTTGTACGATTCTTTTGTGTAATGCTGTGGTTTTGATCTTTCACTATGAAATGTAGTAAAGATTTTGTCCATGATGTTGCACAGAGAATAAAAACAATGAAAGAGGGATAACCTCTCAGTTAAGAGTACAACTAGCTATCAGCGAATATCAACACAGAGAGGATATTAGAGATGCTACAAGGAATTCCACACACGCCCGAACAAAGCCGTACCAGAGACCTTTGGACTGCATATCTATATCGACGTATGTGCGTATGGGACACGTTACTGTATTCACGGATTACTGTATTAATTACTTAATAGTACAGTAATTTGTGAATACAGTAACCCGCAAATACAGAAACCCCCATAAAACGCCGAGTGAGGAATAGCAATTCCTCGTTACTTGTGTGTAATGAGGTATTCGGATACGCTCCGCAGTAGCGCACTGCTAACGATGATCACCTGCTGATGAGAATATCGATGGTTATTCCTTTCGAAGATCGCTTCAAAATCAACTCCTGGACTTAATCAATCATCTTAGGGTTCAGATATGCGCTATTTTGGTATTCTGGGAAATGGGCAATGCTAGAAATTCGAAATCCTGTTAGTTTATCCTACACTGGGACACCGCTTCGCAGACCCCCCGAATGCTAACCATTTGTTGGTACAGTAATCCGTAGATACAGTAACCTGTAAGTATAGTAATCCCCCACAAAACGTAAAGTGAGGAATAGAAATTCCCCAGTTACTTGTGTGTGATGAGGTACTCGGATACGGTCTGCAGTAGCGCATTGCTAACAATGATTCACATGCTGATGAGATTACCGATGGTTACTTCTTTCGAAGATTCCTTCAAAATTAACTCCTGGACTTAATTCATCATCTTAGGGCTCAGATATGCGCTGCTTTGATATTCTGAAAAGTAGACAATGCTAGAAATCCGAAATTCTGTTACTTTACCCTGCACTGCGTCTTAACTCAGAATCATTCTTTAACTTACAAGTCCGAAAATCTGACAATTATAACGATGCTGGAGCTGTGCTGAGAGATCAGGTAACCCTGGTGTTGTTACTAATTTTGAATAGCGGGGCTGATAACTCTGTCATATTTCTTTCATAGAACTAAAGGAATAAATGTCCCACAAGTTTATATTCTACGGAGTACAAGCGCACTAGTCTACGGTCAAAAATGTGTCCGTTGTCCTGTGTTCTCAGGGAAGGCTACTGGTCTACTGCACGTGCTGCATTGACGAATAATTTTTATTTTTATTAGTACTGCTAGAAAATAACAACATCTGATCAACACATCAAAGTATGTTAGGAAAACAGGGCTGGTAGTAAAAACTTTTGAAACATAACAAATTTGAAAGAATATGACAAGCACTGTTAGAGAAAAGACACCTTTGCTTAGATCTTGAAAATGGAAACTTTTTTGAACCAAACAGATTCTGGCCGAGGTAATCAATGAAGATAGCAATTTAAAAAAATAGAGTATGCCTGCGAAAACCCGAAATTCATGAGATCAAACAACACAAAATGTTCAAAACCTTTTTCCGGCTTACTAAAATATCAAAATTCCCCGTTTTTAAGGAGTGCGGAGTGGAAAAAACCGGAAAGCACTGATCAAGGACACTAAGCATATGGTGAAATAACCTCGGTATGACCAGAATTAGGGTGCAAGCAAATTATTCTTTAAATTTTTCAGGCTAGCTCCTTTCTTTAAGATGGAGAGTGACCAAAAAGATGAGCCAAATCTAGCTCCCGGGTAAGCGTGGTATCCACGTACGGGCCGTCAAAATTTTTTCCGGGTAAGTCGCTGACTCAAGAATTTGAAAAGCTAGAAGACTGTAATTTTAAAATTATTCTGACCTCATCAACTCGATACTCTCAACAAAAACAGGGGTTTCCCAAAAAAAAGGCTCTCCCTGGGGAAGTGGGTCAAGAAAAATCAACTTTCTCAAACCAAAAAATGAGGCATCTGATTGCTTTCAATTTGCTAATTAACAACTCTTTTGCTTGCTCATCTCACGTCTATCAGATGTACAAAGCACATCTTTTTCGATAAACAAATGAAAATGTGTTTGAA